AATACAAATGGAAAAACATTAATAATTACGCAAAATACATATCAACTTTTAAGGTCACTTCTGCTTTAGTTAGCCCACTCAGAAATATAGTTTTGGAAAAGCAGACTTTTGCATCCTGTTAAGGAGAAACTCTATAACGCAGACATGCATATTGAATATAGTCCAAGAAAAATTCTTGAGAGAAATAATTAAATGAATTGCTTTGTATAAATTAACTCTCCCTCCTGAGATGAGCATTTCCTTTCTTTCTACTAGTTACTTATGAAGTGGAATTTCTGCACACAAACACACACTACTGCTGTGCTGTTATAAATATTAGGTCTTATCCGTTAAGCTCTGTTCTTCTGAATCAGATACAAGACATCTTCCGATTATTTTTTTCCCTTTCAGATTCTGCTCTTTATGACAGCTGTTGAATTGCCTTCACTCCACAAGCACCAACAAAGGACAGGCAAGAATATGCTGGCTTACTCTTACTTCATGTCTCCCTGGAATCACATACTGATTATAGAAAAGTCGTCTTAACTCCACTCCCCGATAAAAGACTATGTAGATGCAGAGTCAGGCCTTTTACACCGCGATCTTCAATCTAGCTTACCATCTTCTTTTACAAGTTCTAAAGCAACTGTTAATTAGTAGTGGGTATGGAACAAGCTTTTAACCAATTAATTGAAAAAAAAAAAGAAGTCTGCATACAGATATGCATGGGTAGACCAAAAAATTTCCTTTCTAGTAGAGATGGCTCTCAAGAGGTAAAGAAAAAAGACGCGTATAGGTAATGTGTGATAATATGAAAGGCTGCAAGACAGTTGCTTAAGAAACAAGAACAACAAAGGAATAAACTACTGCAGGCATCACCAGAGCTGGAATGACATTGTACTGTGTACTATGTTTCCATGGCAACTAGCCATAGGAAAATGAATGTTTCATATTCACTGTGCTCTGCAGTATGTGTCTATAAATCAAACTTGCATAAAAGAGCATAAGATTTCCTCCATGGGGTTGCTCTGAAAACCAGGTTATTTTTTTCATTATTAGATAATTACATGAAAGAAAAACACAATTAGGTCATTTTTTTGTATGGAAAGTACCAATGCATATAAGAATACTAGTATACCCCCAGTGTCAGTCATCCTATCAATCTAAGAATACAGCAGTGTAAAACGTTGATCATGAATGCCTTCATTTCTTCCTTTAGATCTGATTTATGCTCGTTAGCTTTAAAAACTGAATGAGACTTTTCTGCCCATTTTTGGGCTTTAGAACATTTTTCATCTTTTAGGGACTCACTCACATTCACATGCAATTGGTTTTCAGCTCATTTCTGTTACTATTTCCATTATCATAGTCAGGATTTACCATGCAAACACCTATTTTCTCTAAACAGATGACAAAACTAAGACAAATATTTTCTTACCAGTTTCAATTAATAATATTGTATAATTCTAATTCATACTAACATTACTTAAATGTTTTCTAGAATTTGAATCTACTTTTAAAGACAACATGCTCACTTGCAGACAGTAATTTATCACAAATTATTACTTCAAAGAATGTGTCACATTTCATATCAACACTGCTAAATGCACAACAACAGTGTTATTATAAAGAAATTATTTTCTCTGTTAAGCATCAAAAAGAGCCCCACTATGAAAGAACATATCATCCCATATCACCACATCATTTACCTTCGCAGGTTGTTCTGCAGCTCAAAGAATGTTGAGCTTTCACTGCACAATGGCACTTTAATGAAGTGAATACTGGGCACGCAAGAATTAAGTCCATAGAAATGCAGTATCAGCTCAAAACCAAGAAACATGACACTACTGTTAATTTAAAATTGATGCAAGATTACAGTCAGTTAATAAAATCGAGATAAACTGAATTTCACCTACATTTTGTAAAACTTCAGCAACAATTGCAGTATACTACTGAAATTTGTAAGAAAACAATCCATCAGGAGAAAGAATGCCTATATTAAATATTTTACAGTAAGAGATGAAAATATATTTTGCCTATTCCCATTCCAGTTTAAAAAAAAAAAACACCAATAACCAAAGCCACTTACTATATTTAGAAACACTACTGAATTGAAGTATCTTTTGTATTTTATAAAATAGAGCACTTAACATCCCAACCTGAAGCTCGATTACCAAGTCATACTAATTCACTACATCTTTTAACATTACACAGCGTTAAAGTAAAGCAGAGGCAGTAACTGTGTTTCATAGCCCAGCATTCTAATAAATACAGCACATAACAGGTCACAAACTCATGTATTGAGTTCACAAAGCCTGAAAACTGAAACTCTTCTGACATTGTCCGAGTTTGCCTGTCCTGCTTGAAGCTTTCTACTTGCTTTGTCTCTAACATCAGTTCTTTTAAGGGTCAGGATAGTATACCTAATTTGTTGTTCTTGTGTTTATACAGCACAAACATAGAATAAATTCTTGTTACTTCAGTCTATTTAAAACTATGTAAAATTAAATATTCATAAGTTTACGATAATGGTGTAGAGAAATACCAACCCAGCTTCACAGCAGAGACCTTCCAAAATAAGACACACTACTCACAGCAGAAGAGCACAGCATGGAACGTTAAGACGCAGGGCAGAGGCTAACACTGGAGGACCATGACTACAAACAACTCACCAAGAGTCAGAGAAATGCAGTCAGAGGACTGTACAAATCCAGCACTATGGATAAAGAGAGCAAAGAACAAGTATCTAAAACATAATATGTGCCACATGTAATAAATTTGAATACAACATGGGTTTGCAGACAAATGAAGAGAAGGGAAATGCATAAAGTACGTCAGTAGATGTGTTGAAATGACTGGATGATAAGAGCAAGAGAAAAGAATCCATCCACATGAATTCCAAACTCCTCAAGACAGGATAATGGCAATTCACCCAACCCTGCCCACCTGGAACCTGTCACAACAGGACATGAGAGGGGTAGTGAAAGACTTGGAATAACACCAGAAAGGAGTAGACATTACGAAGGGTGTGTGATGTATTTAACTTTATTATTGAGACTTCTCTTTAATACAGTATTCTGTATTTTATTTTTATGTAAGCTTTAGATTTGTATTAGTAATTTTTCTTTGACTAGACTGCTAAGATTTCAATTTATTAACAACAGAATTTGGCTTTATGTATCTGGTCTCCTTTTAGCCATAACAAGATTTCAAATTAACGGTTAAACAGGTAAGATAGGAAAACAATCCATTATTCTTTAGCTCTTTATTATATTATATAAAGAAGTTTTAAGACTGCTTTAGTATTCATGAATGTACATGAATGATAAATACAAGCATTTCATTTTCAAGCCTTACACTCGTTAAAATCAGTATAAGATGTATGGATTTCTCATTATGAGCATTTTGGATATCTATAAATCAAATTTACTTGACCTGAACAACTTCAGTGGGGTGGTTCTTCTTTAGTACCAAGTGTTACTGATGTTCTCCCCTCCCTGAGTCTTGCACAGCTAAAATACCCCTGCTTTCATTTTTATGAAAAAGTGTATGTTGAGAATCACACCCTAGGAGAAATTAATTCCCTGCTCTGTATGGTAAGGGGAGAAGTTAAGTACTACACATCTTTAACTTCTTTCCCGTTTCCTTTAAACCCTTATGACACAGACTTAATTTATAAAGTTTCATTTCATTTAAAGTATGGGAAAATAATGCATGGAACCTTCCATCAGTAGCTAACGTGCCTTGTAGACAGCTTGCCCATTAAAGTGAAAGTTTTATAAATAAACAGCTACATTCAAAGCTATATTGCAATATGAAGCTATGTCTGAATTTATTTGACAATTCTTCACATAAGAGAAATAAAGAAAAGAATATATTAAACACGACAGCATTAACAATAACTACATTTAAATTTCTTATATAAAGAGCCTTAATATTCAAGAAAGTTTCTAATCACTTCACAGAAATATTGGTTATTAGGGCCTTCATAAAAGTAGGCACTCAAGTCTATTCATTTCTTGGCAGTGTACCAAAAAGTGATAGCAGAAACACTTGGTTTTCAAGAAAATATACCTCATCCCTTAGAGATTATTTCCACTTAATCTATTGCATGCTTATAAAGTTCAGGCTTGAACTGCCTACAATCTCATTCCTTATTATATGATGCAATATGACTTTGTTTTTGTTATTAATGAGTAATATGAAGATACTTGTTTATATGTGCCCTACCAAATGAAGTAAATCATTCAGCCCTCGCAAAGTGATGAATTTCCAAGCACTGCAGTTGACTATAGAGGTTGTTAATGTTTTTTTCAAATAAAGGGTAACATTCATCATGCAAATACATACTTGAAAACTACACACAAAGTAACAGATATGCATGAGTAAGTTTAAAAAAAAAAAAAAGGTACCTAATGCCATGCCTCCAAAATTGAAGGACCTCTTTCAATGGCTGAGCTACTTCCAAACAAGTCATTCATTTCACAAAAAAAAAAAGAAAGTTTTATTGTTTGGAACACACTGTTTTCCAAAATAGGTTTGAAGTAATATTTACTTACAGCTGCTAAACGAAATTGATTTTTTTTTTCAAATGATCCATAAATCACTCTCAAAATTTGATCCTCTCACTCCGCAGGCAAATTTCACCTTATGAAAGATCTCACTAGTGCACTAATTTTAATTCTAAAGCTTACGAATAAAGATTTTGTGATTACAGGAGGAATATTTAAGAGTAAGTAATAACAGGCTTCCTGAGAAACAGTTCAGTCAACAGTTTACTTTCTGTATTTAATATTATTGTATTATATGTATTTTATGTATTTTTCTACTATGTGTTGCTCATATTATTTACATGCATATTGTTTATCTATATTGCATTCATTATTAAAGGCATTAACACAACAACATGCTGAAGCTCATATCTTCAATTGTACAATAGAATATAATCACTTCAATTAACCGAAATATACAAGGAAAAGACTGCTATCCAGACTGAATAAGGATTTCTCTACTAGTCTTACCTGAAGGCTTCAATTATGATTCTTTCAGATAATTTTGGAAGAACAGAATTGAAGGTTTTCTTAAAGTCTTCAAAAGTCAAGAATCCTCTATCTTTTAAATCACAATTAGACAAGAGAAAAAGAACACAGGTTTATAAAACTTACTCATACAATTATGTTTGTATAGGGCTATTCAATTCACAGTTCTGAGATGATTAAACACTAAGTTATTTTATCTGCAAAATATTTTAGAATGGCTATGGTTATATGGAGTGAGCATATATATATCCTGACAGTTCCTCTGCACCTCTGTGACCTCTATTTAATAGTCTAACATCCACAACTGTCTCATTTAAATTTTTTCATTTTAAAAGTAGGCATTTTAAATTGAAAATTTCAGACTTGCGAGATTTTGAAAACATATATTCTAAAATATGTGAAATTACATTCCAAATCTGTCATCTTCATTGACACCTTAGCCACTATAAGCATTATATATCAGAAAAACTTTCTTCCATAAAAAAAACTTTGTTTAATACTATTGAAGATCCTGAAACATACCAGTGTGATATCAATTGATCACTTAGGCTATGAATTCACTTCCAGAGCCAGCGAGAAAAATAAAGCATTTCAAGCCAGGCTATCACAGATGGCGGGCAGCAAATAGCAAGACAAACAAAAGCTCAGTGCTTGAAACAGTTAAGTCCTTTGAAATAACTCACTAAAAATAACACTTCAAAAGCTACTTTTAGTTCAGAGCAAAAAGCTGCAGTGGATGCTTATCTGATCATCCCAACATCTGATCTACCATATGTTTCACTTTCACTCATTTCAAGGGCCATAGTCCTATCTCAGGGCAGGAAGAAATCAGAAAAGATTGTCTTAATGTCTATGTAAAGACAGGTTCTTGATGAATTTTTCCAGCAGAGTGGTGGGAGATAGTCCTTGTTTTACTCTTTGTTTTCTAGCAAGAAAGAATCACTACATCTACTTCACAAAAAGTAGATGAGAAAATTCACATTACTTTGGTTTCCATTCCTTCATCTACTATGAAGATGTAAAAGAAATATCTACAGCCACCAAAGACAGAAATCTCTAAAATATGTGGCATAAATAAGTGCGTGGAGACACATGACTAGAAGTAACTGAAAATGATGAAGTCACTGGAGTTGGAATGGACCTTTAAAGGCCATCTAGTCCAACTCCCCTGCAATAAACAGGGACACCACAGACAGATCATGTTGTCAGGGCCTGATCCAGCCTTACCTTAAAAGTCTCCAGGGACAGGGCATCTGAGGCAGTGAGAGTTAACAGGTAGGGTGAATAGCTTAGAGATTTGCCTTGTAGGAGCTCATACTACAACTAGAGCTTCCAAATAGAATGTTGCAGTCTATTACCTTCGACTTACTTATAATAATATCATTGCTGTCTTTATTACTTCGTTAATGTTTTACTTCATGTGACAGCATTCGTGACTGTATAATCAATGAATGTACAGAAGTTATAATTATGAAATATACCAGAGAGTTTGGCTAAGCAGTTATTATACCAAAAGAGAATAGAGAGCTTACCGTATCCTGGGCTCGCTATGAAACTCCAGCAGAGTAGATCTCCAGAAGAGATCCTTCCCCACTGGTGGTCAGATCTTAGATGGGTCGAGGAGAGGTGCAACCAGGCTCCACCCCTTCCAGCAGCACAGCTGAACTGCCCTCACCTGTGCTCCCATGGCTGACTCATGGCTCACCTCAGGCGATCAATCAGAGGTTCAGGCCATGATTCAGCAGTTCCCATACACACAACATTTTAATCTCTTATTTCCTTCAGGTGTTCTGCTTTACCTTATTGTTTAAGAATTAACACTCAAAATATTTAGGAGAAGAAACTTACCTTGCATGTCAAAAGCTGTGAATATTTCTCTTGTTTCATCACTGCACAGTTGTGCAGATTTCTTTGCACTCATGAGATTTAAAAACTTTTCAAATAATATACCTAGAAAAATTGGAAGTTCAGATAAATCTTCCTGAAAAAAGAACTGTTTTATTTTCCTCCTTAAAAACTTGTATGACTGTCTAATAATTAGGAATCATTTGTATTATATATAAAGTGCAAAAAAAAAAACCAAACAAAAAAGGAAAAAAAAGGTCTTCAAAGTTTGCTCATACAAACATTTCACTATCTTTTAAATTTTCTCATGTATTTTCTATACTTGAAAATAATGCATCAGTTTATTTCTATTTTTCCTTCTAAGTTATCTGTTATCTCATCTTCCTTTGCATTGGAATGAAATGTGGACATTTCTAAGTCAATAGAACTTTCATGCCAAGGATAAAGATCCATAGATGCTGCATAAACAATGTATCTGGCATAATTCCCAGCAGGGACAGAACTCTCAAATAATCAGATACAGATTCCTATGAGATTCACAATAAAATTAAGCTTAAATATGAATTGGTGATTAATCCAATGAATTTACCTTATTTATCTTATCTTTTTAATGAATAGAAAAATGAAATGAAATAAAATCCACATCTCGTTTGCAAGTCCTGTTTTAACTGAGCATTTATTATAAAATCAAATAAAACCATAATATTAAGAAACAAAAATACACCCCCACAACCTTAGGCCTTCTCATGAAACATGCAAAATTTCTGACAGAAAAATTTCAGCCGACACGTTTTATTTTGGCAAAGAGAGCACATATCAATTCAGAAAGCATGAGAAAGACTGTTAAAAATACGCCTCATGCTCCTTTTTAACAGCTGAGTTTTCTTAAAAAGGTGGCAGTATCTGGTGTGAATGTTTGTCAAATAACGTAACAAAAGCTCTGCACTTCTCTTTCTTTTGATTCATTCACATTCTATTCTTCCTGCAGTGATTCAAAGGGACAGCTCCTTCAGCTCCACCTGCTGTCTCAATTCAAATCTTAAACTCCAAGCTTACAGATTTCTGGTGTTTCTTTCCTCACTTCTTGAAAAATCATACATTAAGAACTATTATAGTCTCAATTTCCAGAATTACAAAGACATGTTGATTTCAAGTGCTAGGCTCTTTATGTCCACAATTTATTTAATAACAGAGGTTGCCAAAACATACTGAACTTGTCCGCATGAACAGCTTTCCATTCAATTGGATAAACAGGAAAATGAAACCATAAAAAGCAATATAGGATTTCCATCTATTTATTTTTCTCTCTTTCAGGGTATTTCAGAGGAACGTATGAGCCCAGAAAATTATAGTATACATTCTTCATTTTATGGAATGACTCCTACAATAGAGAGCCGCCTCTTCATTGATCGTGAGAGTTGGCAATCTATGAGCTACTGAATGGGTTGCAAAAGTATCTCAACACAAAAAGGTCACCTTAAAAAAAAATACACAAAGCATCTAGATATTGACAGATCCATAGTCTACCTCCATATATTCGTTCACTAATTTTCACACAGACTTTATCTTAGGAGGGAGGGGGGAAGCAAAATCTTCTGAAGGGCAGGGCTTAATGAATATAGGCTTTGACATCACAGTTAGAATAAACAGCCTTTACAATACCCTTCAAATGCACTGATACAAGTGGGATTATATGGCAAATGAGAAAGGGGAACTTAATGACAAAAACACCCAAATTTTTGACATTTTTATTTTTCACATGAATCAGTTCTCTACTACAATTCACCGCACAGCCCCAGAAACAGTGGTACTGGCAACACTGATAAGGTCGAGGACAAGAGGAAAAACAAAACAAAAACAAGTAGAAGTAGGTAAGTGGGTGTTGCTACAGACAGATATATTTATTGAACCGTGCTGTAAGACTCGTGTATTTGCCCAAATGAACAGTGAAATGGTATCAAAAGAAAAAACATTTTTAATGAAAATCTTTCTCAACACTTATCAGCTTGAACACCAACATTTTCTAATTACTTTTCTCTATCACTGATCTGTATAATATTAAGAAATGCTACTCTGAGAAGCAAGAAAAAGTTCAAACGTGAATTCCAAGCTAAATTTATCATAAAAGCACTAGAAATATGCCAAAACTCAATAAAATCCTATAATCCTCTTTAATAGTTATGATCAGCTCATTTATCATTAATCTGCATCAAGTTTCTCAAAACTCTTTAGAGATCAGGCTTCAGATTTTATTTATTTATAAGTTAATGAATGAAAAAGGAGTAGAGATCATTGATTGATTGATGTTTGCATATTACCTGAATTTTCTGGTCTCACAGAAGACATTATTGAATCCACCTCCACCTGGAACAGAGGAGACACAACAGCGGTTTTCTACAGAAGTGCTCAATCTGAACTCTGTATGAGGTCCAAATATCAATGTTATGTCAATAATGTGTCTTCACTAAATACTGATCTCATAATAGTACATATTATACTACAGTACCCTAACCTGTGCTATTTAAGCAAGAAAAGATTTGATTTTAATTTTAGAGAAACACGCTCTTCCTCGGTAAGTAAACTAAAAGCACACATGAACCTAACAAAATCCTCATCAAGATCCTAACCTTAAACAAAATATAATTTAACAGGCATGGTTAAGTTTATGCAGACCAGAGTTCAACTACACAAAAAGGATGTAATGTGCAAAATAAATTTCTGGAGAGTCAGCCTCCAACATTTTTTTTCCTTTAAACAAGGAAATAATTTTCTGATTCAGCATTCAGATTGAAGTATTTCTTAAAAACTATTTTTGATCAAATTCATTTGGTAAATCAGACTAAAGCAGTAAATGGAAAAAAAAAAACAACCCAAAACTTTGCATCATTCAGCTTGAAAACTTATCCTGAAGCCAATTCATTCCTCTTTCATTTTTCTTATTATATAAATCCTTTAGTGTCTTTCAGTAGGATCTTATCTCACTACTTTTCTGATAGAAAGAAAGGAATGACAGATGTCGATTAGCATGTTACCAAAATTCAGATTAGTGTGTTGCCAAGATTCACTAACAGCACAAAGTCAAAAAGCCAAATGACCTGATAAATACGAGGATACTGACTTTCTAGAATAGTATTTGGAGCTGACAAAGTGGTTACTGGCAAAGGTCTTTGAAAAATTTAAGGAAAGAAAAGGGTGTGTATATCTAAAAAAAAAATATATATATATAATGAGTGGTCTCTTTTGGGCTGTATTTGTATTGCTTTTTAGCATGACTGAGTGTTCATGAATGCACCCTCTTCCATCTAGGCTATTAGAATACAAGACTGCACATACTGGCAACACTGAAACATTTCACACAGGAAGAGATAAGGTGCTGGCAGCTTTTACTGCAATCTGAGTACAGCCTATTCTGGAGAACAGACGTGCCAAACATGCTGTGACCAGTTAACCTAAGTCTACATGTCCCATTTGGCCTGCAAAGCTTTTTTCAGACTGAGTTGGGCAAATAGATGAGAGAGTTCTTTTTAGAATGCTTTAATAAGATGTGCCAAAGAGCAGCTGGAATTTGTAAGCAGCTCTGAGCTCAGACTGCTCTTCCATACTCCAGATGCTAAGGTGCCCTGCTGTTGGCATCTTGATCAGCAGCAAATGCTGAGCCACAGGTGTCCTGATGTGAAGGGATGGAGTTAGGTCAGGGAAGGGACTGGATGCCTCTTGGCCGCTGAACACCTAGGCAAAGTGGAGAATGCTCCTGTTTAGACCTAAGTGTAACATGTAGTACCAGGAATGAAACTTCAGCTGAGAAAACAAAATGTTCTCATGACTATTATTCCTGCAGTACCTTTTCATTTGAAAGTGTCTGACCGTGCATTTAACTAGCTGAATGAGTGTTGAAATATGACAGTGCTTTAGATCAGTTGAAATATTCTAGGGAATACATTTTCATATATTCATAGCTACCTGTCTCAGAAGGTCTAATTTTGAGAGCAAAAAGTTTGGAATCTCTTTGAATAAACACACAATAACAATGTGTAAATAAGAGTTCTGTTAAACTTCAACAAATTATTTAGAAAAAAAGTAAGTAGGAATGAGATTCGATTTTTTAGGGTCTACTTCCTTCAGTAGAGTTCATTGGTGACATCTTGTGGGGAAAGTCAGCATAACTTTTAATTTATGGAATAAATGAAAACACGACCAAAAATAGACAGCAACAAATTACTGAAAGAGCAGTCAACCAATTGATTACAGTTGATGATGCTAGATAATTGCCACTCCTACTGAAATAAAAATTAGGTTAGCATGCTGGGTAGTTGAGTAAAAGGTTTTGCCATAACTTAAGTAACATACATCCACTGTTACCAGTTTCTTGTAAAGCTGTTAGAAGTACTCTAAGTGTCATTATTTTTAGTGACTCCAAAAAAATACAAGGATTTTTATAGTAATCCTTTATTTCAATACTTTTGACAACATGGAAAAATGCACAATAATACACTCAAGAGCTGGATACCAAACAATTTTTAGGTCCACACCTTCTACGTTTAGTCCCTATCTGGCGTACCAAAAGCATTATGTTTTTTGAAACTATATAAAAGCAACCAAAAACACACTAAAACATTGAAGAGATCACTTACAATGCCTAGCCACTAAGAAAAAGCAAAAGGGATGGCTGTGCCATAAGACATAGTTAATGTATGTTAGAGAGAGCCATGAAGAGAAGTATCTGCCTACACAGGGCTTTTAGTATTTCATCTTAGTAAGTGATTGCTGTGTAAAGGGCAGCAGCTGCTAGAATTGTGACCACTTAAGGAAACAGCAAAATCATCAGAGGACAGAGTAACTCCTGGAACAAATGTTTTCAATTAATTTTAATGCAGCTGCACAGATAGAATAATCTATGGCCAGGTGTTCACAGCACTGTCTAGAGACACAACAGGTGTAACATGGCTCCCTTCCAGGAAGAAAGGACTAAACCTACATCTCCCTTCTTCCTAGGAGTCCTCCTTTTCTACTCTCTTCCCAAAAAGGAACCAACAGTGACTTATGCACAGAAACTGCTCTTGTTTGAATGCCTTAATTGTGCTTTCAGAACACCTACTGGGAAAAAAAAAAAAAAAAAAACAAACCAAAACAAAAAACCCCACAACATTCAGGGAATGTAAAAAAAGAACAGCAAGTTTTTAAACAGGAAGACAGCTAAGGGGAAACTGAGAATTTGCAGATCAAGTCAGCAATTAAGACTCACTTTAGTAACCTACATTATTTTTAGATCTGACTCTAGTTCATGAGGGAAACATTTGTTCATAACTGAAATGTAACAGATTACTCCTTTCAAAGTTAAATAAAATATTTATATGATTTTTACATTATTTGATCATATACAAGAAGTTGTCTATGATTGTCTTAGGCTATTTTCTGAAAATTCGTATGAAAGAAAAAAGTATAAAATTATTCACCAAGTGGTCCCTGGGGAAGAAGAATGCTCAAACTGCAGAAGAAAGGTGAATCATAATTTCTGTACTAGATTTACAGTATAACGTATCGCTCCAGTTTGTGCTGTCACACTATGAGAAAAATCTCACAGACATTTTGAATTTTGTGTGTATTCTTTATGTTGCTTTTGAGATGACTTACCTTACTAGAATAGGAATGTAATTTCTGAAATTGCATAAAGCTTTAGAATTCATTGAATTCATTAGAATATTGATCAATAACAAGTCCAATATATCGCTTTTTTCATATGTCACACACAGATATGAAACACAACGCATACTTCTGCTCATCAGGGTGTACAGAATAACTTCTCAGCAAGAAAAGTTTGATCACATTCTTTTGAAATAATCTCCCTAGATAAAAAAAATACTTCAAAAATCTGTAGGTGTTTATGTTCACCAGTTCTAGACCAATCTACCCCAGTTAGCACAGATCATTTAGTAAATAGCATTCTTAACAGCAAGGCATCTATATAAGCTGGATATTCAGAATTTAAGAGAAGAAAAAACACATACCTCTGAGAGCTTATAACCAAACAACATTACTACAGCAACTTCAAAGTCCTCTCTGTTCAAATAGCCTTTGTTACCTTCATCACACATTTCAAAAACCTGCAGAAACAAAGCGATCTGCATTAAAAACAACAAATATGATGCAGGTTTTTTTACTTAAAATAACTGCTATGGGAAAAACAAAACAAGTACTTAGTGAGTGAACTAAATGATTAAAAAATATACATACTGAAGCTTAGTCCCACCTCTGTAATAACTGCATTCCACTACCATTAAGGTAGCTGAGGGACGAAGAGTAGTCCGTTTTGGTCTTTTTTATTATTTAAAATATATTTTTCTTCTTCTAAAAGGTTCCCCCCACCCCCGCCCAAACTTAGGAGATACAATACAGATTTCTAGAATCAAACCACACGGAGTTTGCTCCTTCTAGATGGCCTCAAAACTGTAGTAAAGCACAAAGAGACAGAAACGAGTGCAAGCGCCACAGACAGCTTTCTAGCTGCACTTGCTTGTTTTATCACGGGACGATAACAGGTACTTAGTTGTTTAACTGCAGCCACAGCCTGTAACAGAGAGGCACGACAGCTCCACGCTGTGGCATTTCGCTCTGCTAGACGGAGCACACTTTGATGCCGCCCGTCCTCTAACTTATTTTACACCTGTTTCCCTCCCACACCCCCCTTGAAGCTGCCATGCAGTTACCTCATTAGCAGGGCGCTTCCGCTGCGGTAATTAACACCGAGCTGAAAGAATCATTATGTAAATATCGCACCTGCCCTGAGTTAACACGGCGTCCGACGCCAGCATTTCACATGAACTCAGTGAGGTAACGCGCGGCAGCTTCACCAATTACCAGAGGCACACGGGAGCTGCCCGAGCTCCTTGGAGGGGCGGGAAGGGCTCTGCTCCGCACGCCACGTTTCCCAGGGACACCGCCGCACCCCGCAGCAGCCCCGTCACGCACCCTGGCGCAGCGCTCCCGCAGCGAACCCATGGCGGCGGCTGCCCGGCAACGGCGCCGCTGTGCGGGGCGGAGCAAAGGCGGCACCGCCTCCCTCATCTCCTCCTCCTGAACTTGGTCCCCGGCCCGAGCGCCTGGGGAAGGTGCCGTCCTTCCGGAACGGGAAGAGGCGGGCGCAGGCTGGCGCGAAGAGGTGCTGGGGTGAGCGGTGAGCGGTGGGCTTGTGGAGTCTTGGTGCGGGCCGGTAATGTCGCTATGGCTGCTGCCGTGAGGGGTGGGACTGGCGGCTGGAGTCCCACCGCGGCGGTCCGGGAGGCACCTCGCGCCCCTTCAGCTGGCCGCGGTTCCCGCGCGCTGCTGCTGCTGCTGCTGCTGGCCCCGCCCGGCCGCGGTTCTGCCCGCCTCGGGGGCGGTGTTAAGGCGGGCGGTGGTGGTGTGGCGGGTGTGCTCCGAGTTCTCATTCTCAGTAGCAGTGTGGGCTGCGCCTCTGAGCGCTGGGTTCAGCGCGAGAAGTGCCGTGTGATGCAAATCCTGCTGAGTGCTTTGCTGCACGTGTCCTTGCTCGAGCTGGTTTCTCACGTGCAGGTTTCCCTGTGCAGCTGCTTCCTACTTGGTAGCCGCTTCTGTTGCCCGCGTTTCTTTGTTCCGTGGGAGCAGCTTTGTTGTTATTGCATATTGTTTTGTATGTGAGGACCGTGTCAGATCTGGGGGTTGGAGGTCATTATAAGAGGCAAGCGGAGGCTGGGAAGGGAAACAGTGTGGTCTCTTCGTTTGTAGCAACATGCTTCAGGAAGGCGCCCACGGGCGGTGGACTGTGTCTAGCAGTGAGGACAGCACTGAAGAGAATTCTGACAGCGAAAAGCCCTCGACGTCCTCGCTGCCGTGTGCCCCGCGCAGTGAAGCGAGCGCGCCGCAGTACCCCTGCTCTGAGGCCAGGAGGGCCGCTCACAAGAGGAAGGCTTCTCCGCTGAAGTTCGTTGACATACGTCTCCCTGCGCATACACCTCCTGCAGAAAAGCAGAGGCCTGGCCAGGAGGGCTTGGGATGGTGCCTTTCTAGTAGCGATGAAGAGCCTGAAGACCAGGTGAAGCATGCCAGCAAGGAAACACCGAAAGAGGAAAAGTGCGATGCACCCAGAGAGCAACCTCGGAGTCATTGCAAAGATGAACATTCAAAGGATGTGAAAGCGGAGGACTATAATGAAGCACCTGGTGAACCCCAAGATACCTGGGATTTGCTGAGTGGAGGGAACCCCTTTGGGTTTTTTCTCACCAAAGTTAGGGGAATTGAGCAGAGCTATAATTCTGGAGCTCTGCACATAAAAGGTGAGGAAGTGGCTCTTGCAGAAGTGGACTTTTGGATGGGAGGGTCTTGTGTGCAAGTGGACACTTAATTTTTGGTTTATGGGTTTTTTTAACGCAAAGATTCCTTGGTTTAAATGAGGCTTCGTACTCCAGGTATGAACATCGTAGGAACTGGTTCTGTTACCTCTTGTTTGTGCTTATCTTTATGCTGCCAAGTGGTTTGGACCCAGTAAGTCACTGTTACTTGATGTAGTACACGGTACTGCCTTGTGAGTTTCTGTGGCTTGAGCTCACAGTCACACGTCAGTGCAACTGAAAGTGAGCGTAAGTCAGAGGTGGAGTAGGATATGGTGTATGACACTGGTGGTTTGGGAATGCCAGGTGACTGAAATTAATTTTACTTTATATAAGGGTAGAAAGCAGTGTGCATCTGTAGCCATCTCTACGTTCAGAGAAGCCTCTTGCATTGCAAGCCCTCAAGCCCAAAAGCAATCATTAACAGGTGATTTGTGCACAGATAGTAAAATGAAGTAGGAAACTTCTGTAGTTCCTTGTGTGGATCCTCAATCTGTTTTTGTCACGCAACTCACCCGGTAACTAACTGTTCCTCAATCTTGTGTGCCCCCTACAGCAAAGGCTGTAGGCAGCCTGGTGTCTGAGGCCTTGGTTGCATTACTCCTGTACAGTTTTACCTACCTTGTGAACTCTCTGGCTTCTGGGCAGTCTTTCCATAAGAGTAATTATCTTGTTACGCGGTTGCTTGAGCTGGTACAGAGGCTATTCCTTTGTTTTAACTTGCAGAACAGTTCCTATAGAGAAGTTCTAGTAAAGACACAGTATCTCATAACCTATTTGTCAGATATATTTTGTAGTTGCAGCTGTGCTTTCAGTTCATGAGGTTTTAAATCCTCAGTGTGATTAGTGTTCTGTGTTCCCATTAATAAAATAGACTAAGGATACACGTATCCTGCAGTCGTCCTGCAGCCTTCCCCACGTAGTTAAGTTTCTGGTCTGTGTATCTCTGAGTGACAGATAGTCAAAGCGGTGGGTAGTTGTATTCTTCCTTTCTCTTTCCCTGAAAAGGAGGAGAGAGAAAAAAAAAAAAAAAAGCAAGGAGCTCTAGGACTGCTGTCAGTACTAGCACAAATGACCTGCAGCAGGTAACTCTTTAAGTATTAACTATGCTCTTTCTGTTTCTAAGTTGCCTCAGTTCTTCAAGACCCTCTATGGGGAGAAAATAGCTTGTCCCTTTCTTTACTTGGTCTTGGTCTTTCTACTAGTAAGTTTTTGAACTTGGTGCTCTGCTTTGAAAGGGGTGATGCTGTTTAAAACCGTAAGACAATAAGCATAGAGTCATAGAATCCTTAGCATTTCATAGCAGAACCAGGGACTTGAATGTTCTACTCAGTAAACTTGTCAATGTCTGTTACACTCAGTCTGTGAATCTAGCACTTGTAGTAATCATGCTGTTCAAGGCAAAAAAGGTTCACTTAGCTTTCTATACTCAATTGTGTCTTAATGTTTTTAATAGATATTTTGTCTCCTCTTTTTGGGACCCTTGTATCTTCTGCTCAGGTGAGTTTTGTATTTGCCAAATTGCCATTGCTTGCTTATTTCCCCTATCCTCAAACCTGTATGTGATAATCCATTTTTTTGCCATGTAGCTGATTTCAGCAGGGAACTTCATTAAAGTACTGAGGGAGCCCTGAGTGCTTTCAACAGCACGTTGATTTATTGAAAAGTAAAAATGATCCTATGTTCTGCTTAGAAGTCAAGCAAATGTGAAACTACTTTCTCTCTTGCGCTCTGGAAATGCGCAAACGAAAAATGCATCTTCATGTAATTGAATGATAAAACAATGTGTTTTGCAATCTAAGCATGAGATTTTTGTTACTGAATGGAAGCTTTTGCTTTTGTTCTTGGTGTAAACATGTGGCAGAGGGCACACTGCATTCAGCTTTTACATTATGTGCATACAATTTTTTTTTGTCTACATTCTAAACTTTATGAACGCTACTACGTGCTTTGGAGTAACTTAAATTTATTCTTGAATGAAGAGATGTGAAAGAAAGCATTTGAAATTGAAAAATGAACCCTCTGTTAAAACATGCTGATTGCAGTTTTGTAGTGTCATTGTGTGATGGAGCATCATTATGCGTTTGTATAATGTAAGTGATAATGAACGCGTAGAAAGTATTTTTTTTCCCATACTCGATCGTTCTGACAAACTGCTACTTTTTAATGAGCTTATTTTCCTTCTTATGTACAAGTTTAACTACTGTATAGACGTGGCATGGCTCGTAAGACAGTATCCACAGGAATACAGGTATGTTTACTTGTACAAAAATGAAATAATACAATTTCCAAATCACTCTGTTCATGTAAATTCATCTTATAATTGAATGATAAACCAGTGTTTCTTGTTTGTGTGCGTATAGGCGTATTCCACACTTATTGCACTATATTTCTCTACTAATTTATTGTCTTTTTATGAGTCAGTGTAAGGTGCTGACAGTTCAGTATGGCTGGTTTTGGTTTTTTTTTTTTATTAGGTAATGTTTAAGTCACCCCATTGCAGGCCAAGACAACAGTAGGTGAACTGTGAAAACAGAATGAAAATTTTTGTTGAAGAGCATGAGAGAAGTGTGTGAAAGAGATTGGAGTGATATTTAATGGGTAGAGTTGCTGTATATTGTTGTGGAAGCAGCTCTTATTTCCTTTAAATGACATTCTGACAATGGCAATTTATCACAGATAAATTAAGTATACTTATGATACTGAATTTTCTTTTCTATTTTGCATTTTACTGAAAATTCAGTAGAGCAGATTATGTGAAACTGCTGCTGGAGTAGACCTAGCCTTCTCCTTCACATCTTCTCTGTGAAGTAACACTGTCTTATAGATCCAGACTCTGTGTTTTTTTCCTATTTTCTGTCTTTCTGTTGAAGAAACCATTAAGACGTAGTTAATGTAGTTAGTATAGTCTTTAGTGCCATCTTTCTAATAGGCCATTGGATTTAGGGACCAGAAGTCGTAGCTCCATCAAAGACTGTTTCAGATTGATTACTAATTCAGTTGATGCTTTCATAATAATCTCGTTTTATTTCAGGAAGAAGCCATTGCTGATAGTTCATGGTGAAAAGAGAGAGTCCAAAGCTGAACTGCTTGCACAAGCACGCCCTTTTGAGAACATTAGCTTCTGTCAGGTAACTGACATTTGTGTTATCCTTTGGTTGAAATTAAGCCATTTATTTTATTCAATCTTCTTGCAAGAGGAGAAACACCTTGTATGGAAAGTTGAGAATTTATTATTTTGCTTTAAGGAATATACTTGCTAGAACCATAGGAACATGTAAACTATGGTCTAAAAGGTGTGTAATTGCACACCTGCCACCCACAAGAAGTTTGCACAGAATTGCTGCCTTCAAAAAATGTCTTGGTTTACAGAAGAGGTGCCTGCTGTCTCCACTGACACATTGCACTGTAATTCCCAGTATTGCTGAGAAGGAAATACTGTTTGTCGAAGGCACAGAACTTAATGTTTGCGTCACTGTGATCTTAAGTTTAATCTAAGAATTATTTTTAGTCCAGATAGGTCATAAAGAAGAAGATATTATTACACATAGCCTCCATCATAAAGTTGTTGGCTTCAGCCTGAGTGAGTGATATGGTTATAGCAGCTTGCTGGGAGAGCTACACAGTTGGTAATGGGGATATCTTCTTTGAAAACATATTGATCTTCCTTTTTTTTCTCAGATGGTCTGGGAAATATGAGCTTACTGGAAATTGCAGTATTAATGCCATACTTAGTGAGTTCTCAAGGCTAAGTTTTCTGAGCTGC